GAAATCCAGGTCTCCTACTCCTCCGCCATCTTGCTCCGCCCCCCTCAATATATTAATTTTACTTTTTTACCATTTGAGAGTGAAGTTAGGAGGATGTTTAGGAATATTTGGTAAATCAGTGTATGAAGAGCTTTACATATTGAGAATAAAGGAAGCATAGTTACCACCACATCCTAACGACAGGGTAGAGCAAGAGGAAAAGGTTACTGGGATGTTGTTATGTTTTGTTATTTGGTTTATTTTTGTTTTTTATTTTTTTTGTTTGTTTATATGTTTAGTTTGTGTATTTATTTGCATGGTGTATATTTTTATCTCCCAATATTCATCATTACCCCTTATCCCATTTATACTGCGACATAAATAATCCCCTGTAGTCCAGTAGCTTTAACAGGGTTTTAGAATCCTGGGTTCTAGTTAGACGAAGAAGAAAGGGACCCTTTTTATTTGACCATCTTGACCTGGAAGTGCTCCACATCAATTCTGCTCATAATCCTTGGTGAGGATTATTTACATGGTCCCCACCTAGATTCAAGGTGTGCCCGGGCAGGGCAGCCCCTTTTTAGTGATGACTTTATACTTTGCAAGAGATGCACACATCATTTTCCTCCCCCTTTCAGCATGTCAGCATGTGTTTTTGTTGTTGTTTGGTTTGGTTTGGTTTGGTTTTAAGTAAGCTGTAGGCCCAATGTGGGGCTTGAACTCACAACCCTGAGATAGTCACATGCTCCACCTACTGAGCCAGCCAGGCATCCTTAGTACATTTTTTTTTTTTTTTTTTAAGAAGGTATTCCCACCAGCACCAGTGGTAGAATACATGACCTTTATGTAAACTACCCAGGGAGGCCCAATCTTCATCACAGAAAATTATTCAGAGGTAGTAGGAAAAAAAAAAAAAGACTCCACTAGAGTCACTCCATGCAATGAAACATTTATTAGTTCTTGAATCTTACTATACATGGAGCCGGGGCTAAGAGAGCTGTTTTAAAACCAGAATTACAATGGAAATAATTCATTGTATTAGGCCTGAGAAATGGACCAAAGGAAACTGGCTACCAGTGATACTTGAATTTTTGAATCCAGCTCTATCTGACTATGAAATTTTGATTTACACAAACTAAAATAATTTTCCATTTTATTTTTATTGAGTTTGAGTTGAGATTTCTTTCACTTGTAATTTTAAATTTCTTAATTGACAAAGGCTTTTAATTTTTAATTGGAGAGAACAAATAATATTTTAGGAAAGAAAGAAGATATTGATGGTATTGAAAGTGACATTGATTATGATGATAATAATTGATTGAAATTTTGATTTATTTATTAAAACCAGGTCATCACTAGCATTTATGTGTTCAAACTAGTTCACTGTTGGAGCAATACAAATGTAGAACTGTAGGCAAGTGGTTTGCTGATAAATGTTTAACAACTGGCTCTCCAAGTATTATTCCAACATGAATACTGTCTGATATTTTTGCTTACATTAATGAGTAACACAAAAGTGAAACAATGTAGACATAGGTTGGAATTTTGCTTGTTTGTCAGTGACATGGTAATTTATTTGCCCAATCAGGTCATAGTTTTCAAATATTCCATATTTGAAATTATATCTATTTATAATTTGTATTTATTTAATAGCTCTTTATAATTACATAAAACCTATTTATAATTAAATGGCTACAAACATTACACTTTTAAGTTTAATATGTATTACTAATATTTTCAACATCACTTTCTTAAGTGTCGATACTCAACAAAATAATAAGTCATATTTTAAACTTTAGCTTTTTGATGATTTCCTTGGTGTGAATACTCCTACCATGGTCAGTTTCAAATTATCAAGGTGAGGTCACTGAATGCTCTCTGAGTGTAACAAAATGCTGTTATTACAAAAATTAAAATTCAAAAATTCCTATTATATCCTTAGTTCATAAAGTCTCAAATAAGTAAATGGAAATATTAAATCCACCATATTAATCAATACATCATATTTCATATAAGCTCACATTTAAACATTGTCATCCTTTTCCAGTGTAGGACCAGTTACAGGTGGGCTGTCTACTACCTAGGAATAAAAAAAGTATGGTCAATTTCTCTCATTCTCTCTTACCTCCTCCCACCCTTAGTACTATTTCAGACCTTTCCAAGAAACTTCTTGGTTGACCTAACAATTTTAAAAAAGCTTTTTTGATCTCTAGGCCTAGCAGATGTTAAAAGATATTTCTCTTTTTCATGAACACATTGATAGATCCTTAATAGCCCCCTTAGGAATAAGGGACCAGATTTCCCCTGACAAGAATGACACGTTTTTTTCTTCATTTATCTAGTACTTTTCCAAACTTGATGGATTTCTGTTTGTTTTTTGTTTATTTGTCTCTTTGTTTGGGCAGTGCTCTTATAAAAACTTCCTGTTGGGGGTACCACCAGGATTTAAAATAGCTTCAAGCTGACACTTTCTCTTTCATATAGTCCTTCTTTCTTGTGTAGAAAACACATGTACATATTTTATCCAGACAAACTCTGAAAGTGAAAGCCAATCCCAACCCTGTTTTAATTCACTAGTTTATAGAAAAGCAGTTGGATATAAATCATGTTTCTGGCAGATGGAATAGGTTAAGGTTATCTGCTCAGATGGCTAAAGCTTTTTATTAATATTTTTGGAGAAGACATGGTTTTTCATTTGCCTAAATTTCAAATATCCAAATAGCCTCTTTATTAATGAGTTGCCCCCTCAAGTTTGCATTTCACAGAGATGGTTTAGATGAGAATTTCCAGAGAAGACTGGGTAGAATATTTACATCTCAAAGGCACAGAGAAAGAATGCCAGTTCCTTCAAGAAGCACTTCTGTTTCTTAAGGCCAGAATTTTTCAATATAAGCTTTCAGTTTGAGATGAATAGGTGAGGTTTTGGGATTGGTTAAAATGATAGGTGGACTTTGAATATTTCTAGAGCTGTGTTTCTGGTTTTGTAAACATTTGTAAAATAAGAAGAGTTGGTTTTAATTCTTCAAAGAATTGGCTTGAATGACATCTAGAGGTTGAACTAAGTTATCCTCAGTTTGCTTCTTTATACCAGGGAGAAGTTCTTCAACTAAAATGGAATTGAAAGACTCCTGTGTTCTAGATTTAGAGCTTTCTCTTCCAAATCTTTTTCTTTCCCTCTGGGTATATTTAGCTTAGGGGAGGAGGTCTAAAAAAATTTCTGTCAGGCTCTGAATATCAGTTTTCAATTTGGCTGACTTCTGACCACTGAGATACTTAAAAAATCCTTTGAAATATCTTGCCAGAAAAACGAACAAACAAACAAACAAACAAAAAAGCACATCGGTTTCTGCCCAGGACAGACAATAAATATTCCTGGCAGTATTGAAGAACACATAAACCCAAGAGGCATTCTCAAAGAGGATGGAGAAGATATTACCTCCCAAGATCCAGAGCCACTCTCAAAGATAACCAAAAGAAAGAGACATTTCTTTTTGGCTGTTTAAGGAAATAATGTATCAGTTTACCAGAAAATCCCCCTTGCTTCTATTAACCCTGACAGGGGCCCATATGGGGGCCCTCCTTCAAGAATATATTTGGGGGTGTCTGTAAGGCCACTAACTTGGTGGACTTTTGTTTATGGTCCTTTTGTCTCTTCAGAGTGGAAGACAGTTCAGACAGAGGATTAGTAGACTGAGTACTCAGGTAAAGGAGGACAGAGGGAAGCAGTAGGAGTTACCTCAGTCTGTTAGTCCTGTTTTTTTATATCTTTAATTTGTCTTTAGGCTTTTGTAGCAAATATTTCATTGAAGCTATTTTGGAATTTTGAAAACTTCTGGAGGCTTCTGCATGCCAATTAAAATTGATATCCCATTCTATTTTTTTGTTTTGGGAATTCTTATTTTCAAGTGTACTTCTTAAATGAACGATCTTGTCTAATTGGAACATTCCCCATAATGACCATTGTAATTCTAGGTTGTCATTAGTAAGATTTTTCCATTTTTGTAGGTATCTATGGGTTCTGAGACCCACGTTTCTTAGACAAAAAATAAGCAGGTGTACCAGAAGGTGGCACTCTCAAATCTTTGGAATGTAAGGATCCCATTTCTTATAGGTAAGCCTTGGGTCTCTCAGAGCAAAGTTAATAATACCTAACAGGGATGTGTCACTGCATTGAGGATTGTGTGGCATTTTACATGGAAATTTTCTTAAGGTTGGCAGGTGACCCAGTGTCAATCTAACTCCATTCCATGGCCACCTAATCCTAACATGAGAGTCTTAGAGTTAGGTGGCAAGTGCCCTAACAGCTTTTAAGTGCTTGACCCATGTCCACCAATTTTGTTGTTTTGGCTTTCAAGATTCCCATTAGCAATAGCCTTTACTTCATATTCCCATTAACAGAAACCAACAGTAACCTGGACAAGAGATGGCATTGTGTGCCCCACCAGCAATTTCCAATGTGGAACTGAGGACTGGGGAAAGGACCCAACAGATGGGCACTGCAGACTGGGATTCCAATCAAATGAAAAACTGCAGACTGAGCCACCCGCTGTTCTCAATATGGCATCTGGGTACTGAACCAAGAACTAGGGGCTTAGGTTCTGGTGGAACTGTTACCTTAACCTGAACTGACCTGGACTAGAAAGCCAGTTAGATCAGGAGCTCAATGCAAAGAAAGCAGAACTCAAAACTGAGAGGAACTTACCTCTTGGCCCTAGGAAATGGCAAGAAGAACCAAGAATTCAAAGGATTCATGAGTAACAGTGCCTGTGTTTCTTGTTATCCCCCAAAACACATACATTTCGTTTGGATCCTGTCACTGACACCAAAACTGTTAAAAAACAAAACAAAACAAAATTCAACTCAGTTAATTCTAAAGATCTTATTGCCTTTATTCAATGATTCATGAATTGGGCAGCATTCTATCTAGCAGATAGAAAGGGACTCTGAGAAACTATAAAAATGAAGGACTCTCATAGGCCAAAGGGAGCAGGACTAAGAAATTATATTAGTAAAAGGCAGATTGATTGTGACAAGGTCACTTTCCTTCAGGGGATGATGGGGTCTATCAGGCAGATTACCTTATTAGTGCTGACCAGGTGATTCCTTATTGACTGGTTTAAGATTCCATTTCTGGGAGTGGCCAAAACACTAATTAAGTTAAATTGTGGTTTGGTGAAATGAGGCTTAGCGTAAGTGGCTCCATTTTGAACCTTTTGTCTTAAAATTTTTAACACAGTATAATCAAGCTAGGTATGGATATACCCTGCCCTTCACTTGGGTGAAGGGTGTGTGTGTCTATGTACATTTGTAGGTAATGCCAGGACAACTCTTTCCAGTAAAGTCCTCCACACAACGTCTTTTGTCACTCTTAACTCTCTTGGCCCTTTTATGCCCTCACAATGTGTTCAAGGGACACAGTATATAATTGATTTTTGACAACATCTTTTGTAAAATTTGCATATGATTTAGTATCTGCTTTGGAATATAGCATCTATTAGATCTTAGTACTTAAGAGAAAACTTGCATTTTCATTGGTTATTACACCATAAATGTGGGTAACATCATGAGATTTTTTCCAATCCACTATCAAAAGCTGTTCTCATGGCTATATTCCAACAAAGGAAAATTTATACATACATGCACAGAAATACATATATACACACACACACACACACATATGTCACATGTACCACATATTCATCTTATTTTAAAAAGTTAGAAAATATTGGGGCGCCTGGGTGGCTCAGTTGGTTAAGCGACTGCCTTCGGCTCAGGTCATGATCCTGGAGTCCCGGGATCGAGTCCCGCATCAGGCTCCCTGCTCAGCAGGGAGTCTGCTTCTCCCTCTGATCCTCCTCCCTCTCATGCTCTCTGTCTCTCATTCTCTCTGTCTCAAATAAATAAATAAAATCTTTAAAAAAAAAAAAAGTTAGAAAATATAAATAGACAAAAAATCATAAAAGATGAAATGAAATCCATCCAAAATTCATCTCCCAGGAAAATTTGCTTTGTACATTTTATTTTGCCCCCACGCAAGTAAGAATATGCACAGAAATAGACTCCCTTAATTATCCTCTAGGACCTGTGTTCTCTGCCTCTACTCTCTTTACTTTACACATTGTGGTCATCATTCCCTGTCAGCAAATACAAGCAATTTTATCTAATGGCAGCATGTATTCTAATCATGAATATATTTATATTTCCTGAACTGACCCTCCATCATTGAATATTTGGGTGGGATTTTTGTTTCTGTGTAAACTACACTACTATGAACAAATTATATGTGTATCATTTATGTTTGTTTCCTTAGAAAGGTACATCTCTTTCATTAACCAAATAATATTGCCTCTTTGGGTGTTCATTTGCATTTCAATAGGTTTTAAGCCTTAAGCCAAAAGTATACATTTCTAAAATAGAATTCAGGTATCAGTTAATGGGAAAGGGATATATTTGGGGGATATATTATCTCTTTCTGTTCCTTGAAAAATCTTAGTAATTAGATAATTGCCTGTTTCTGCCTACTCACAAATCTGAGTCAAATTATTTCTGTTATTTCTAAGATAAGCCCTCCTTATTAGTATATTGGCAGTTGAATAATTTAATAATTTAATTTTAGAATTAAAACCAAGAAATATTTCTAAAAATACTCATTTTCACTGATCCATAGCAATTCTAGATACTTATGTAAAATTTATTTAAACTTCTCACACCTGCTAAGTTAGGTTAGTAATCTTATCTAGCATTCTCTCTCTGTATTACATTGGTTCATTCTTTTGGATTGTTCCAAAAATTCTCTGCCAGAGGATTATGAAATAAACAAGTAACGAAGAGAAGCAAAATGGAAGGTGATGCATCATTATTTATTTTTTTTTTTTCAAAGTCCATTGCAAGTTGAAGGAAGGTATAGGCTTTTTAAAATACATATTTCAGGTGTTTCATCATTTCATCCTTCCTAATTTTGAGGATATTTTGCAAATTTTAGATAAATACAACAGCGATATAGAACTCACATGCTTTTGTTTTTCTGGAATTGCACATTATAAGTAACTTGCATAAGAAAAATTTGCATTATTAATGTAGATGATTTTAAAATATAGTGACTGCACTAAGGAAGTCAATTATGCTCCGGAATAATACTTTTATCGAAGTAACATTTAGTCTCTCTTAGATATTTGCACATTGGTTAATATAGTATTAAAGACAACCACTTTAAGGCTAAGAATGTACATTTTTAGAAAGTAATGATCTAGACTGTTCAATAAGATGTGCAAAATTACAGAATGTATTTACTATCAAAAGCTGGGAATTGAAAAATCAGACCTAAAATTTTAAAAATGACTACCTTCAAAAGTGACCTAATTACATTTTTCCCTTAAGTACAATTGTTTCTCTATGTGGTTTGCTTAAAAATATATATAAATAAATAAACTGACAGGACGCCTGGGTGGTTCAGTTGGTTAAGTGACTGCCTTTGGCTCAGGTCATGATCCAGGAGTCCCGGCATCGAGTCCCACATCGGGCTCCCTGCTCGGCAGGGAGTCTGCTTCTCCCTCTGACCCTCCTCCCTCTCATGCTCTCTGTCTCTCATTCTCTCTCT